GTCCTTCAATATACTGTCTACAAGACACATCAAAAAGATGGAGACAGTCTAAATGCCCATCAACAGAAAAATGGTTAAACAAACTTTGGTACATACACACAATAAAACAGTATGCGATGTTGAAGAATAAAGAATCTAGGAAACAAGTCACAACATGAATGAATCTGGAGGACATTATGGTGAGTGAAATTAGTCAATCACAAAAGGACAAATAGTGTATGAGATCAATGGTGTAGAAAGTTGAGAAAAGGTTTTCTTGATAAAAGAAACAATCTATAATGGTTACAGGGGAGGAGGGAGAAGGGAAAATTATTTATGGGCTAGAAGGTAGACACATATTAACATGGGTGACAGGGCTGACAATACACAGCAAGAGGGAGGTTAGCAGAGAAAAGATGAAGGTACATAGAGACACAGGGAGAAGTGCAAGAGTTAAAGTTAGTAGAGATAGACACTGTTAACTGTTGGGAGATGAAAGGGATTGCAATCATTGTAATGAAGCAAAGTACATGATTTGTTGAATGTAAAACTGATGATTATTTTGTAAACCTTCTTCGATTCACAATGAAAAAAAATTTTTTTAATGTCCATTTCATGTAGATTTTCAAATGTGTTGGAGTACATTTCTTCATAGTGTTGTTATGTTTTTTATTTCTGCTGGTTCTGTTGTAATGCCATCCATAGCATTTCTTATTAATGTTATTTTCATCTTCTCCTTTTCTTTTGTCAGATTTGCCAATGGTTGGTTGATTCTATTAATCCTTTCAAAGAACTTATTGATTCTATTATTTTTTCTGTTTTCAATCACTTCACCTTTTTTATCCTAAAATTTTTTTAAATGTGTGTTTTTGGTTATTATTTTTGAGAATATATTTTGAATGCATGGACAGATGAAAACCCAACAAATCACCAACCTCAAACATCTGAAGCCCTTGTGGTGTCTCAATGGGAAAATCTTCAAGCACACTCATGAATTTTTCTGGGATATTAGGAAACTTCTGGGGATCCTGAAAAAAAAATAAATAATAATTTTACAATCTGAGTGATTAGGTTGGAAAAGCACATGTAGAAGAAAGGTTATCCAACTTATTGTCTCAGATTTCAGATACCAGTTCTGTTGGGAGAAAGGCCTGGTTTTTAGTTTCCTAGCCTAGTAAGAGTTATTTGAAGAGTGTTGTTGTTGTTAAGTGCTGTTGAGTCAGTTCTGACTCATAGCAACCACGTATAGGTTTCTGATTAAACAGAGCAGCTGGTGGGTTTGAACTGCCGACCTTGTAGTTAGCAGTATAGTGCTTCTCCTATAGCACCTCCAGGGCTCCTTTTGAGCTACAAGGATGTTTAATTGCAGGTTATTTGTGATAGTGAAAAAAGTAGAATTTACCTAAATAAAATAACAATCGGGAAATGGCTAAACAAATTATGGTACATCCATAATACAAAATACTCTGGAGTCATTAAAAATGGTTTTATAGTAGTATACTTACTGACACTGAAAAATGTTCATGAAATACAGCTAAGTTTAAAAAGTGGGTTAAATATTTTATATACAGTATGATTCCATTTTTAAATAATAATATTATAAAATAAATATATATAAAAGTATATATTCCAAAATGTTAGTAGTATTCATTGTAGCATTTAAATAATTTTCGTTTCTCTCTATTATTAATTTTTCAATAGAAATAGAATGCACAATATACAAAAGTGGAGAATATGTACTATTTAAGAGACTATGTGATAACATATAATAGATATAAAATATAGTATATGATATTTACTAGATTAGATATAATACATGTATAATCCTGGTGTGGTGGTGTAGGATAAACACTGAACTGTTAACTATAAGGTCGGTGGCTCTAACCTGCCAGCATTCCTTAGAAACCCTATACAAGGTCACTGTGAGTTGGAATTGACTCGATGGCACTTAACAACAACATATAATATATTAGCTATATTTCTAAGGGCTACTAACCTCAGGGTCAGCAGTTCGAAACTACCAGCTGTTCCATGGGAGAAAGATGAGGCTTTCTGCTACCATAAAGATTTACAGCCTTGGAAACCCTGTCCAGGGTCGCTATGAGTTGGAACTGACTCCATGGCACATAACAACAACAAGTATATATTTATAAACAAAACAATATTTTATATAGTACAAAATAAAGTACATATAATAGATAATATATAATAATAATAAGATGACTGGCTGAAGTAAAAGAGTTAAGTTCTTTTAAGCTAAATTCTCTTAAGCATATGCTTAAATTATTTCTATTGTCATTTGTCTGACACTTTTGAGTCACCTCCTGGCTTATCAATGGTACACTCATAATCATGGACCATCTTTTGAGAAACACTAATGTAGACATAATTTTTAATTAAAAAGTAGTTTAACAAGAAAACTAGAAACAATCTAAGTATTAAAAAATAAATGGATCAAATATTGGTACTTTTATACATAAGAATGTTATATAATCATTAAACATGATGTCACTGAAAATATTTAATGATGTTGTTGTTGTCAAGTGTCTTTGAATTGGTTCTGACTCATAATGACTCTTTACAGTGTTTCTGTGGCTTTAAATCTTTGTGGGAGTAGAAAGCCTCATCTTTCTTCCAAGGCGAGGCTGGTGGGCTCAAACTACAGATAGGCCTTGTGATTTGCAGTCCAATGCTTGTTGTTTGGAGCCACTGTGTGTCTCTTAATGACATTAAAAGATGCTTGTTCTGTGTTATGTTATGGAGTTCTGGTGTGGTGCTGCAGGATACACACTCGACTATAAGGTTGATTTGAACTGCAAACTCACCAGTTGCTCCTTGGAAACCTTGTATAGGGTTGCTGTGAGTCAAAACCAACTCAATGGCTTTTTACAACAAAAACTTATAAGTAAAGTAGGCAAGCTATACTAAACACTTAGATAATTGTATATGTGTGTGACATACATACATAAACTTCTATAGTGAAGGTCCAGAAGGATACACACCAAAATATTAATAGTGATTATATGCAGCAGTTCAAACCCACAAGTCACTTTTTAGAAACCCTATATGAGGTCACAATGAGTCAGGACCCACTCAATGGCATAACAATAACCATGGTGATGCAGCGTTTAAAGTGCTTAGTGGCTAACTGAAAAGACTGGCAGTTTGAATCCACCAGGTGCTCCATGGGAGAAAAATGAAGTTGTCTGTTTCCAAAGATTTACAATCTCAGAAACCCTAAGGAGTGGTTCAACTGTGTCCTATACTGTCCCTATGAATCAGAATCAGCTTGATGGCAGGAGGTTTGGCTTGGTTTGGTTTAATTCAGGAGTGAAAGAGAAGAGAAAGAAGAGAGAGGAGAGCAAGAAAGAAGGACCCATAGGAAACTGTTGGAGGGTCTGTCCCAGATCCCCTTGTTGATGTTAGGAGTCCTCCAGTCAATTCCAACTCTGGTGACTTCATGTGACAGAGTAGAACTGCCCCACGATGTTTTCTTTAGTGTAATCTTTAGGATTGCAGATTGCCATGGAACCACAGGGTAAGTGCCTATGGCAATCTTTTGGGTATCAGATGAGTTCTTAACCCTTTGTACAACCTTGGTGTATTATCAAAACCCAGCAGGGGGTGTCATTTGTGTGTAGAGTCACATTCAGAATATCCAGGCACCCAGAAACCCAGGGAAACCACTTACTATTTTGTTCAGTCCTCGCTGCACTTTGAGGTAAAATTTGAAGAGTAAGCTGATGATGAGGGTTCGCCTATATTCCACCATCCCACCTTTTGCATCAGGGGGAATGTAAATATCTTCCAGGACCAATCGGCAGGCGTCACTCAGCATGTGGTCATCCCATTGTCTGGAAGGAAAGAATGTAAACATTTCACAGAAGAGCAGAAGACAGACACGAAACAGACAGGGCAAGAAAAGAGGGAAAGTAATCTGTTCCCACCTTTGAGATCTAAACAAAATAGCTTCCTATGTATTTCACTGACTTTCTTTCTTATCTGATGCACTGGGTTCCACATTTTCCATGCCAAATCCTTCTTAAATAGTATTGCTAATTTCATGGGCTAGAAATGTTGATTTACCTCAAAACATATGGGTAAAAAAAGTACTAAAATTGAAGCTTCCTGAAATTTGGAATTTTGTGTTGTCCAGTGCTGTATCTCCAGTAACTAGAACGGTGCTGGCATACTACATTGAATAAATATACAGTAGTAAATGAATTGTTGATGACACTAGTAAAGTATCTTACAATGGAAAGTTTTTATGTAAAAGCATCAGGTTATTTTTGTATCTAAGAAAACTTGGATTAAGTTCAATTTATTGACCAATGAATATAATGGGTAGATAAAAATTATTATAAAAGTGCTAGCATGAAGAATTAAAAAGAATTTACTTTTCAAATCCTAGAAATAACTAGGGTCACAGGAAGTTCTTTTAAACTTTTAAAATATTTTGGACATTTAAAAAAAATCGGCACAGTCTTTGAAACATTTACTTATTTTGCAGGTTAATTAAAAATGAAAATTTAAAAATAGCATTCATTCAGACCAGGCAATTTGTGCATTAAGCTTATTACAGACACCTGCTATAGAAGAATCATTAAATCTTGACAATGGTAGACTTTTGGATGAATTTTACTTTATACTTTTTTGCAGTGCTTATGAGTATATACATTTCTATTTGAGCATATGCATTTTTATAATGAGAAAAAAATTCCTCAGTGCTATTTTTATTTAAATATATAAAAATAAAGACCTGAAATCTCTGTCACAGATATGCTCTGGCTTACCTCCCAATGAGCTGCTTACAAGTTTGAGTTGCAGAGACCTGGGTAGGGGCCACGCTTCCGAAGAACATTTTAAGGTCCTTGATGGTGTTTGTGCCGTCTTCAAACTTCACACTCATCCCGGCATTAACAATGGCAAAGTCATTCTCCTGACGTTGGGCCTGCCGGAGTCCCCACACAAAATCCCACTGGAGATGGAGAAACACTCAACAGTTAGTTGCCTGTCTCTATTGTCGGCATCAACAACAACTTTGGTGACTATTTATAGGGAAAAATATTCATGTAAGTGACATGAGTTAGCAGATATTGTTATTAAATGCCAATGAGGCAGCTCTGACTCATTGCAACCTTGTATAGAGCTTCCAAGGAGTAGCTGGTGGATTTGAACCCCTGATCTTGAGGTTAGCAGTCCAGTGTTTATCCTACAAACACCTCACCAGGACTCTGAGTTACAGAGTTATCAGCACTGTTATTAACTATAGAGTACTAACTGTAGGCTGGATACTGTCCTATGTGCTTTTGATGTATTAATATTTGCTCCTTATAACAATTCTGCTCATTGCCAATTTACTGATGGGTAAACTGACAAGCTAACTTGCCAGGGCCACAAGTTATTTAGTAAGTGGCAGGGGAGGAGTTCAAACTCAAACAGTGTAGCTGCCGGGTTGATGCATCTGCTAAGCACTATTGCCTCTCAACTCTGAATCAACATGTGTGTCTTTTGGTCTTCGTTTTCTGTGAAATAGGAAGGGTGGGTTTGACCAGACTGAACTATCACAGCTCCGTTTTTATCTGTTGCATAGTTTGGTATTCTATGTAAATTCCATTCGATTAAATCTAATGTAAAAAAAAAAAAAAAGAAAGAAGAAAACCACTGGACCAGATGTTCTTCAAGTTCCTTTCCAGGTCTGAATCTGTCATTCCATGCTAACTAGCATTACAGTGACCTTTTTTGGGGTGGGTAGGCTCTGACTGGTATGGAACACTAAAGCCAGGAAGTGGGGAAGTTGATTAGTGTGGCCAGCATTTTGGGGACAAAGAAGGGGAATGAAGATTGAATCCTACCACCCTGGGTCCTGTCAAGAATCACAACAATTTTGATATAGAAAACAAAGATTATAAGGAAGTGTTTGAGACACAGTAATCATATTCACTCTATTGCTCTGGAGTAAGTAAGTACTAACTTGGGTGACTGATGGGTCTTTCTTGTCCATTCTTGTTGCCACCATCCTCATTACCACGTATCTGTTACATTAGCCTGGTAAATGTTTATTCAAATTCGTTCTCCCCAACCAATTTATCCTCTATCTTTCTTTTGGATTTATATTCCTAAAACATCACTTTTATTACATTTTAATCTTGCTTTAAAGGAAGCTGTCTGATGGAAAAAGTACAAACTCTTTGGTTGGTGGAAAAATTGATCTGATGGAAACCCTAGCTTCATTTCATATAACTGCTCCAACCATGCTCTGCTTCCTGTCTCCCAGCCTGCATGCCCTCTCCTTGCTATTCTCCTGTCTGGAATAGCCACACCCTTCACTCCACTGATTTAAAAGTTACGTTCTGCTGTGCATAAGGTCACTATGGGTTGGTACCGACTCAATGGCACCTAACAAAAACAACAACAACAACGATCATCTAGACTAAGGAACTCTGGTAGCATAGTGGTTATGAATCGGGCTGCTAACCTCAAGGTTGGCAGTTCGAAACTATCAGCCGTTCCGCAGGAGAAAGATAAGGCTTTCTGCTCCTGTAAAGATTTGCAGCCTCGGAAACCCTGTGCAGGGTCACTATGAGTCGGAACTGACTCCACGGTACAAACAGCAACATCATCTAGACTGAACCCTAGTTTTACCTCCTCTTTGAAACACACTAGTAGAAATGTAGCACCATCACCATCTTCATCACTCTTGGTTCTGCTCATTTGTGGTCTGAGTTGATTAAAATTCCAGTCAACTCTGATCCTTGGTAATTCAGTATTTGCAACATCCAGGGACTCCCTGAGATTATCATCTCCTATTCCTAACCTTTCTTTGTACATTTAGAAACCTTTGAGGACAAGAATTTTAAAAACCTTCAAGACCCTATTGTTTGTCTCTTTCTTATTAAACTCTGTAGTTTTGTCCTGGTTTAGCATTGTGCCTGGCACAAAGAGTGGTTTTTGTTGTTAAATGATTTCCAGTCAGTTCATGACTCATAGCGACCTCGTACAGGATTTTTGAGGCAGTAAATCTTTGCAAGTGCAGAAAGCCTCATCTTTCTCCTGTGGAGCAGCTGCTGGCATTGAACTGAGACCTTGTGGTTTGAAGTCTTCTGTTTATTCTACAGAACCACTGCTCCACATAGAGTGGTAGGTTGTTAATAAATATGTAATTTCCCTCAAAATAATTGTTTAATAAATATCAGTTGACTTGGTAGTATCTTTATGACAAAGAACTATTTTTAAAAAACTTACAGTAGATGATATTGACTATGTTGTTGTTGTTAAGTGCCATCTAATTGATTCCGACCCATAGCGACCCTGTATAGGATTTTTGAGGAGCAGCTGGAGAGCTTGAACCACCAACCTTGCAGTTCAAACAATTTTGCAGTTCAGTGTATTCACCCACAGTGTCAAAGACTTACTCATTCTTAATTATGACGCTAATTTATCTAAAACTGCAAATTTAGTTCCTCACATGAAATCTTTTCCTCTTGCAAGGCTGAGATATCTTTTAAGCATAGTAGGCACAGAGATAGGACACACATTACATATTTTTTGTTATTGTTGTTAAGTGCCATCAAGTCGGTTCTGACTCATAGCAACCTGTATAGAATTTCCAAGGAATAGCTAGTGGGTTTGTGATTAGCTGTCCAATGCTTATCTTATAATGAAGACTCCACAATATTTTAGGGACCTATAAAAATCTTTTATTTTTAACTTCTTTTAAAAATGTAAGAAAAATAAATATAATATTGTTGTTAAGGGCCATTGAGTCAGTGCCGACTCAGCGACCCTGTATAGATTTCTGAGGAGCAGCTGGTGCGTTTGAACTGCCGACTTTGCAGTTCGGCGCATTAATCCACAGCGCCACCCCAGGACTCCGAATAGAATATTAGTGAACATATAATACTGACTCTAACTTGGATTATAATTATCTTTATACCGACAACCATAAGGTATAATTTTGAATGATATCGTTTAATGGCAAAAGGGTCCTATGACGACAGAAGTGTCTGTTGTTGTTATTGACCCTATGCACAGCGGAATGAAACACTGCTTGGTCCTGAGCCATCTTTAAAATCATTGTTATGCCTGAACCCATTCAACATTTGAATAATAGTGGCATTAACTGGTCTTCCTTGTAGGTGCATTATACTTTAAGATAGATCTTGAAATATTCTTTTTGATGAATGCAACACTATTCTTCTTCAATTTGTCATTCTCGGCCGAGTCAGATTCAAAATGGCCAATACCAGTCCATTTCAGTTCATTAATGCCTAGAATATGGATCTTTAGGTGTTCCATTTAATTTTTGACAACTTCCAGTTTTCCTAGATTCATACTTCGTACATTCCATTTTACGATCATTAATGGATATTTACAGCTGTTTCTTCTCCTTTTGAGTTGTGCCCCATCAGCAAATGAAGGTTTCAAAAGCTTTACTCCATTTAAATCATCATGGTCAACTCTACTTTGAGAAGACAGCTCTTCCCCACCTGTATTTTGAGTGCCTTTCAACCTGAGGGGCTCATCTTCTGGCACCGTATCTACAGTATTCTGGTGCTCTTCATCAGGTTTCAATATTCAATATTCTGGGGCTATCTGACAATGTTCCACTGCTATTTAAAAGGTTTTCAGAGGCTAACCATTCAGAGGTTTTGCCTCTCCTTCTTACTAGTCTGTCTTAATTTAGAAGCTCAGCTGAAACCTGTCCACCATGGGTGACCCAGCTGGTATTTAAAATACTGGTGGTTTAGCTTACAGCATCACAGCAACACACAAGCCAACACAGTATGACAAACAGATGAGTAGAGTGCCTAGGACCTATGAAAGTCATTATGTGGGTCTGATTGGAAAGGAAATAGATGGACTATTGGGAATGTGTCCCTCCCTGTGAGCAAAAACAGGAGTCTTGGTGGTGCTGTGGGTTAAGCAGCAGGATGTTAATCACAGTTCAAACATATAAGCTGCTTCCTCAGAGTAAGATAAGACCTTTTGCTTCCTTAAAGATTTATAGTCTTAGAAACCTTAAGGAATAATTTTACTCTTTCCTGTAGGGCCGCTATGAGTCAGAATTGACTCTATGGTAGTGAAGTGTGTGTGTGTGTGTGTGTGTGTGTGTGTGTGTGTGAGTAAAAGTCTTCCTGAAGCAGTTAGTTCAATTGGAGTAATCACCATTCTCCTCTGAAACCTACCTGTCGACTTGCTGTAGACCTAAGCTTCACCTGCTGGCAGGGATCTAGGAAGCTCTTACCTGAGTAGAGTAGGGAATATAGACAGATAACACAATCTCCTCTGGTTTAAGGTCAGCTTCAGGTGATTTCTCAAGGAAATCGCCATTTATAGGAATCTTCCGTTCTCCTTCTGTTAGAGAAAATGACCTTGGTTAGGAAGGATTTAAGGGAGTCCCTGGGGAGCTTGACTACTAACTGAAAGGTTGGGGATTTGAAGTTACCCAGAGGGGCCTTGGAAGAAAGACCTGGTGGTCTACCTCCGTAGGATCACAGTCATTGAAAACCCAATGGAACACACTGCGATTGACGTGAGTTGGAATCAACTCAACAGCAACTGGTTTGGTTTGGATCACATTAGGGAATGAGCTGGAAGTGACAGGCATGCTGTATCTGATATAAAGAAAGGTGCAGGCTGGGAGCGGGAGACATTGGGTGCAAGTTTCAATTCTCATGTTGGGTCACTATAGGCAAGTCATGTAACCTTTTGAGCTTCTGGCTCCTCATCTGTAAAATGACAAGGTTGGTTTAGATAATCTGGGATGTCTTTTCTGTTTTGTACATCCCATTATATGCCAATCTCCAATTTTAACCTTTAAAGCTGTTTGGAAACAGCCTAGTTAGATGTATGAATTTCACAAATGGGAAAACTCAGGTCTGGAGAGCCAGAGAGGTGAAACGACTTTGTCCAAAGTGTTAGAGGTGGCCCTAGTAGCAGAGGTGAGATTCTTGATCTATAGTTTTACCATATTCCCTTATTTCATCTACAACATTTAAAAAATGTGATTTCAATCAAAGAAAAGGCATTCAACATTAATAGCCTATGAATGATATGCATTTATTTTTCTTTAAGTTTAATCCATTTTCTTTAAAATCTCAAGGTGTCGTTGAATAAGAGAAAAGTAAAGGGCAATGTTGTCAAGTGCCGTCAAGTCAGTTTGCCCTACAAAACTGGTTTTGTTTAAAATTGAATGTGCTATATAAAAAAAATGCTATCTTATTGTTCTACGTCCTTTTCTGATGAGTAGCTTCTGGCATCTTAAAAGTTTTTGAGCAGCCATCTAAGATACAACTATTTGTCTCTTCCTATTTGGAGCGAAGGAGTCCTGGTGTGGCACTGTGGGTTAATGCGCTAGACTGCAAAGTCGTTTGAACTGCAAGGTCAGCAGTTCAAGCTCACCAGTTGCTCCTTGGAAACCTTATACAGTGTCGCTATGGGTTGGAACCAACTTGATGGCAATTAACAACAACAACAATCTGGAGCAAAAGAGAATGAAGGAAACCACAGACTAAAAGAAGAAACTAGTCCACAGAACTAACAGTCCACATGAACTGTTGTCTCTTCTAATGAAACCATAAGAGCCAGATGATAACTGGCTACCACTGATTATCATCCTGACCAGGGGTACAATAGAAGGTCCCACATAGAATGGAAGAAAAATATAGAAAAATACACAAATCCCTGAAAAAGACAAGACTTAATGGACTGATAGAGACTAGATGAATCCCAAGACTATCACTCTAAAATAACCTTTAAACGTGAAATTGAAGCCACTCCCAGAGCTCAATCATCTTTCAGCCAAATAATATACAGTATACAAAATAAACAATAACACCCATGAGTCATGTGTTCAATTAACTATCAGAGACCAGTCAACGGCAACAAAAGAAAAAATTGTCTTTATGAAACTCTGAAATGAAATATGCCACAAAATGTTAAAGTCACAGAGATATTGGTCATTAATTTTTTAATTGCTTTTGCACTGCAACTCGAACTGCATAGAGATGGTTAAAAAATATTGGTAAAACATTTAAGAAAAAATGTCAGATACATTAGATTACCTGATCTATAGAATATAGAACATCTGAATAGAAGGATAATCAATCCCCATTTCATTGTTGGGTTTGAAATAATATAAATATCTTGTTTTTTATTGGTGCCATTGAGTCAGTTCCGACTCATAGTGACCTGGATTGGGTTTCTGAAGAGTGGATTGTGGGTTTGAACACTAACCTTTTGGTTAGCCACCCAGTGTTTACCTTATAGTGCCACACCAGCATTCCAATATAAATACAGTCTATATTTATTTGCTGAGTTTAAATGAAGTATAGTTGGGTCTCTGGTTACCATTTATGCACAGAACTACATGAGCTGACAGTGACAATTATAAAATGTAATTTTTGGTCCAGTAAACATCGCTGCCCAGTTCTATACCCTATTCATGATCTGTGGCTATTAATTATAAAAATAGGATGCCTAAAACTCAATCTCTTACCTTTGGACCTCAGATTGATGATAGCATTTCCTGCCGCTAAAATGGGATTTAGGTCAGAAAAATTAGGCCTGCTCACCACATGTCCTCCTAAAGTCTAAAAAAACAACAACAAAAAAGATGTCATGTTTTTCAGCCACATTTTGCAATTTGACAAATTAAAAAAAAAATATATGTATATAGGGTTTTTGTGTACATTTTAAATTCTCTTCTTTGCCTCTCAGAAAGATATGGCAAGTTTTGGGGAATTCAGTCGATCTAGACAACATAGTTAAATCGATCCCACTGCTCCCAATCCAAACTTAATGCCTGGGGAAATATTCATTTTGTATGTGCAACAAGGAGAAACAATTTCTTCGAGAACTGATCTTGGCATGCATTTTGCCCTTGTTTAGGAGTGGTTCCTTGATATGGATGTTTACTTGTAAAGATAAACAGAACAGGAACTAAATGGGAACTTGAGGCTGGGATCAGCAGGCTAGGGAGAAGAGAGGCAATGGCTAAGGGGATGAAAGTGGGTCTAAAAAGATAGGTGTGAGGAGACAAGGACAGAGCCCCAGGAACAAGAATATGTAGAATTTACACTTAAGTTGTCTATTATGCAATAGAATCCTGTCATTAAAGAAATAGAAAAAGATGCAGAAGCTTAAAACACATGGTAGACTCCAAAAATCAACCAAAAAGGTCCACAGACAATAAGAAGAGATGTATATCCTACACTTCCTTCTGCCACCCCAAATCCCACTAATTTGTGTGGAATAGAGAGTGGTTTGAATCAATTACTATTAAGTAACAAAGAACTTTTGGTAAGCTAGACAACTGAGGAGACATTTGGGATACTAATGTTTAGAAACTGACCTCTGTGCAAAGATCTAGCAGGAAAACTAACCATAAAATGAATCATAAGTTGTTTGCTGTGCCTTGGCTGAAACACATTTCATAAAGCTGAACAGTACCTTAGAAAAAGTCTATTTGGTTCAACTTTAATTTTACAATGGAGGGGCACAATGGCTCCTTCTGAATCATGTCACTCCTTGGTGACAGGCTGGGTTTAGAATTTGGGAGTCTTTGGACTCCAGTACTATATCTTGTTGTTAAGTTCTGTTTAAACTCACCAGCCTCTCCTTAGAAACCCTGTAGGGAGTTGTCATGAGTCAGGACTGATTCCACAGTGCTTTATAACAACAACATGAAATCCTGGTGTGGCACTGTAGGATAAGCACCAGATGGAAAAGTCGGTTTGAACTGAACTGCGGGTGGTTCAAGCACACTAGGGCTCCTCGGAAACCCCATACACAGTCGCTGTGAGTTGGAACACTGACTCAACTTCACTTAGCAATACATATATATGTCTTGGTGTGGTGCCAGGAAACTTTCAGTTCAAACCAATCTTGTGGT